TGTGACATCAGATAGGAGTGTGTTAGACGGGTGTGGCCAATGCGTAAGCGGGCGAGAGCGGTCTCCCAACGTCTGTTCCGATGAAATGGAGCTGACCAGGAGGAGATTGATAGTTTTACAGAATGTAATTTATTAGTGTGGAGGCTTGACCAAAAAGATTGCCTTCGCTTATACAAGAAGGTCTTAAAGTGTGGGTAACAATCCGTGGCTGGGATACGTGAGAAGCGTGGTTGGTATGATGTGGACATAGCAGCGTGGCGTGCTAGTGTATCTGCCTGTTCATTGCCGGGGATTCCAACATGGCTGGGCACCCAGCAAAATTTGATTGTTTTATGGCGTGTGGACAGGTAGAATAACCAGTTCTGGATCTTACAAACAAGGGGGTTGGTGTTGTGTATTGACTTTATGAGAGTTAATGAGCTACGGGAGTCAGTAAAAATTGTAAAAGAGGAAGAGGAAAGTGAGTATATGTGTTTTAGGGCAAAAAGGAGTGCATACAGTTCTGTAGTAAGGACACTGGATTCAGGAGGAAGGGAGTATTTGAAAGTACGAGTTGGGAATATTACTGTAAAACCAGCACCAGAAGTGGATTTGGAGCCATCAGTATATACGTGTATACTAGAGGAATGGGTGGAGACATGGTCAAGGAAATGGATGAGAAGGACAGTAGGAGGAATATTTGATTTTGGTGGGTCGGGGAAAACAGAAGAGCAAATATGGGGGTGAGGTATAAGCCATGGAGGGACGGAATGGACAGAGAACGGGAGAGGTTGGAGATGGGGGAAAGGGGAATGGGAGAGGAGGGTATCCATGCGAGTGGAGAAAGGAGTAGGTAAGCGTGGAGATGAAGCTAAGTTAGGAAGTAGGGATTGTGGGATAGTTAGTTTTGTGAGGGGAAGTTGGTGGAAACGAACATAACATCGGAGAGATAGAAGGGCACGACGTCGAGATAGAGATGGTATGCCTGATTCAGTATACAGGCTCTCAACTGGAGAGAAGCGGAAGGCGCCTAGTGTTAAGCGAAGACCACAGTGATGGATTGTGTCAAGATGGGCAAGGAGAGACGTTGAGGCAGAGGAGTAGATATGGCATCCATAATCAAGAGTGGAGAGGATCAAAGTAACATGAAGATGAAGAAGAGTTTTGCGATCTGAGCCCCATGATATATGGGATGGAGTTTTTAAAATTCGAAGGCGGCGGAGAGCTTTTTCTTTAATGTGTAGAATATGGTCTCGCCAGGTCAGTTTGGAGTCAAAAATGACGCCTAGGAATTTGCCAGAGGAACGGCATTGGAGTGGAGTGCCATATAGGAAGAGTGGGGGTAGGGGACTTACACGTGAGCGAGAGAAAAGGATGGAAAAATATATATATATGAATATATATAATATATATATACATTATTTATATATATATATATATATATATATATATATATATATATATATATATATATATATATATATATATATGGTAGAAAAACCCACAATGTAAAAACTAGATTTATTGAAAAAGAAAGTGAGACGAGTTTCGGAATCCAGGTGGATTCCGAAACTGCCGTCTCACTTTCTTTTTCAATAAATCTAGTTTTTACATTGTGGGTTTTTCTACCATAGTATCAACACGGTAGAGTGTTTTCCTCATTCATATATATATATATATATATATATATATATATATATATATATATATATATATATATATAATATATATATATATATATATATATATATATATATATATATATATGTATGTATGTATGTATATATGTATATATGACTGCCGCGACGGCAGTCATATATAAAAATGCCTACGTTCTGCCTGTTAGCTCAAGCCCGAGAAAACGTAGGGGAAGTCACCGCCGTGGCACAAGTGTTAATGCGCCGAACCGCGGTTGATTAGGACGGGCATCCAATCAGGCAAGGGTGACACTGCCATATAACCTCTCAATACTGAACTGAGAGTGGAATGAATGGCTGTTAAAAAAAAAAAGTATATATGTATACACGTATATATGTACATATGTATATGTGTACATATGTATATATGTATATGTGTACATATGTATATATGTATATGTGTACATATGTATATATGTATATGTGTGTCTGTCTGTCTGTGTATATATATATATAATATATATATATATATATATATATATATATATATATATATATATATATATATATATATTTATATATATATATATATATATATATATATATATATATATATTATATATTTATATATATATATATATATATATATAATATATATATATATATATATATATATATATATATATATATATATATATATATATATATATATATATATATATATATATATATTATATATTTATATATTTATATATTTATATATTTATATATTATATATATATATATATATATATATATATATATATATATATATATTATATATATGTATTTATGTATACATACATGTCATAATCACTGTGAGTTTTCTTTATCAATTGTTTTTACACATTGATGGATAAACTTGTCACCAATGAGCCAGTTGTGAGTACTGCCTGTCTCACCTATTTACCCTTTTCCTTGATTTCCTAAAATATTTTACATTATCTTTTATCGCTGTTACTAATGTTTATAACATTATAGTAATTATAATGTCTGTTTAAGGTCACAAGGTCTACTAATTGACTCCTTTGTGGGTAAGCACTTGAAAAGCCATCTATGTACAAAGAAATTTCACAAAAAAATAAAAAAGGGGCAGAATTTTTGTGGCAGTATTTAGTTAATACTAGAGGTTAAGTAAACATCCATGTTTAACAGTTTTGCATAATTTACACCTTGTAAATTATATATTTCATATTCAATTGACAAAATCTGATATAACACAAAATATATAAATAATCATGTATGTATTACATTGGCCAAATATATTTTTGCATTCCAGTGAGGTTCATATCAAATTATAATTATCTTGAACACATAATCAGTGGAAAGAAATATCAACCATTAGACATAGCAACAATTAACAATCAAGTCATTTTTAATGTGAAAATAATTTTTAATAAAAGTTTGTTTGAACAACAGATTGAATAAGGTCTTTAAATAACATTAAAAAATCAGCATAGAATTGTGTGTGAATGACTGCTGAATATTTTCTTAAAAAGTGTGCATCAAACTGTATCATAATGCATCATCAATGTATAGAATTAAACAGTACAGTAGCAATAAATCTTCTCTAAAAATATACATAATGTTCAGTGTTTTTCATTCACCATATTTAACTTTTTTTTTATAACAATATATAGTATCACATTTTGAGGGACTGCATACCTCAAATATCAGCTTGAACAAGTGATTCCATAATATTGATAATGATCCCAAAAATTTTTACTCACTTTTAGTATTTCAGCCCCAGTTTTTGACTCAGACCCAAACGGGAGATATGGAGGTGTAAGCTCCCTATATGTTATGCAAACTCTACGTGAAGGAATGTCTTCTCGGAGAATGCCATGTTCCCATTTGTAGCGTGGGGGACCAAAGAAAATGATAAGAGAACGCCGAGGCATTGGCAGTCGTACTATATTTGGACCTGCATCTAATTCCGGGGAGGCCTCTGCTCCTTCAGCATTTTCTTCACTCTTTGCAACAGCCTCATTTTGACAAAGCTGATGGAATTCTTGTACAAGTACCTCTTCATTTTTCACTTCATTTTCTTTCATAACAGCAGGATATTTATAAGTATCCATTAAGTTGTATTTAGTCTCAGGTCCTCTGTACTTTCGTAGTGTAAGTACTGAGTCAACCAGTAAACTCAATGTAGGGATACGTTCCCCCCAAATCCAACAGTCATCAATATGGGGGTCAATTGATGCTCCAGTTTCAATAGGATAGTCCAGTGAACACTGCTCAACAGTCTGAAAATTCTTTAAGACATCAACCGAAACAAAACGATCTTGAATGAATTTTGTGAAGGCTGGATAACCAGAAAAGTTTTCTACCTTTGCACGACGTTTCTTGAAGTTGCACTTTGGTCCATAATTCTGAAAAAGTGTAAAAGTGCAAAAGTTACCTGCAAGAGCAAAGAGAAATCTGAAATAATATAATACCTATTACTATATTACTTCAGAAAAAAATGAAGAAATACCACAAAATAATCCTTATTTCATCTCTAAATGTAATGTTATGTCTTGCATTACAGAGATAGCTCCTGCTAGAACTCGTAAGCTCTATGGAGTACAGGAATCTTCCAAACTACCTGCTTCCGTCTTCCACTCTGAGAGAGGTCCCAAGGTACTTCATCAAGATGTCTCAGAAGCTCATCTTCTTCATCTTCAGCTATAAAATTCTGTATTATTTTTACACCTGGAAATCTGCAATATGATCAATTCAATCAGTGAAACAATAACATATAAAAGCAAAAATTCACACTGACACAAAGAAGGGAGGGGGGGATTGCCATAAGCAAATGCTGGCCATTACACCAGAACTACTTACTTGATTGAGTCACCAGCATGGTCTGGGTGGACTTTCCAGCTGTCTGCTTCCCAGCCTGGCCAGGCAAGATCACACTCTGGACAGTATACATAGGACTTTTCCTGAAACAATACACAACAGCATTACCCATTTTTGGTACCTGATTACATAATTCTCTTTTTATCAAACCCTCTAATTGTTAATCAACTTTAATGTAACCTCAGAATAATGTCATACTGAAAATTAGAACTGAATAATAAGAATATAAGCTTTAAAAAAAATCAATTATACAAGGTAATACATTTTCTATATCTATAACTAACCATGTGAATGTTATCAGATTAACTAGCATAACAAAGACAATATTCACAAAGGAAAATAAACCATTTACAAAGATACTGATCATGCAGTCACTATAATGAATGCAAGCTGAGTACATTATATTGATTCTGGTGAGGTTCACAAATCACTGAAGAGATTAGGTGTTACTTATGGCAAAACCAAATTTTTAGATGGGTCATATACTGCAACTAATATTATTTATTGTTTAGTACTGTCAACAGTAAATAGCAATGTGTGAAGTGTCATAAGGGAAAATTTAGTGTTACGAAAAATATATCTTGCAAAATGAAAAATTTGGTATGTTATGAAGAGCTCTTGTACCCAACAGAAAACTGGAACCTCAAGATAATAATGCAAATAGTAAGAATGACATCCACAATGGATTATTTTCCTTCTAAGATTAGGCCTACACAGTGATCTATCCAAATCCACTTAACCCTTACTGGGATCTGTAATGAAATACAAGCTCAGGATCGGTACCCTGTGATTGCTGAAACCTCCATTCTTTGTGCTCCAACAAAGGCTAACAAATTTCTACCATGTATATCATACCAAGAAAGAGTGATTTCTTATCTGCTAATAATTGACAAGGGAGGTCTGCAGATTCTATCTCTTGTTTGGATATGCTGAAAACTGGCTGACTTTTGCTGTAGCACTGAAATAGGATATAATCTAACCTATATTCTATGCTTCCCTAACCTAACCAAACCTATTATTTTGAGTATTTCTAACTCATTGAAACACACACCAGGCTCAAGTCATGAATCAAATACACATGAATCAATAAGCAACCAATAACATAATTTCTGGAATTATGTAGGTTAAATATTATGTAGGTTAGGTTTGATTACGTTTTAGGTTAGGTTAGGTTCAGTTATGGTTTGATAGGTCAAACAAGGAACATGCATTAGAAGTGGCATTCAGATACCAGATACTGCCTGGCCTTAGTATTTTCTAAACACTTCGTTTAAGTAGAAATTGCACTGCAAACCAACAGACTGCAGATATACATGCTTTTTTCGGTCCTATTCCATATATTATTCATGTGATATTAACAAATTTCACAAGAATACACCCTCTCTAAGTTATGAACATTCCCCTGTTAATTAGACAAGTGCACTGAGACACGTTACGAAATGGACAGGTATCTCGTGGTCTCACCTTCTCTTCATCTGTCACCCAAGATTTTGCTTTATTCGCCACATCCTCATAACTCTGCTCACATTTAAGGCAGGTACGCTGGCCTTTACATCCACAGGGACGATTGTGAAACATGATGAACGAGAAAATTTTCAGCGCTTTTCCTCCCAATGTCGTTCGCTGACTGAGGTTTGTTTTGAATCCGGATGCCGTTCTTGTAAGTTGGAAGTGAAGTCGGATTTCTTTTAAGAAATTATTGGCACTTCATCTTATCTGTTTTTTGCATCAATATATCATAAGCTGATTTAATTATTTTTCATTCTAACAAGTGTATCCATAGAAGTATGGGCTGAATAACAGAAACACCTAAAATGAATATAGACCGAAAAAATATCGTTACCCATAGCATTTCTGTTAAAATCCGTTTTCTTTAAGTTCCATTTTCTGTTACTGTATTTTATTATTTTTTTCTACCAACCCATTCTGTGTTTCAACGTCTAGTTTAGTGCTCTCCACTCTGAAACTCCGTCTGACATGACAATATTTGCACACTCTGTCCGTCTCTCTGCCTCTCTCTCTCTCTCTCTCTCTCTCTCTCTCTCTCTCTCTCTCTCTCTCTCTCTCTCTCTCTCTCTCTCTCTCTCTCTCTCTCTCTCTCTCTCTCTCTCTCTCTCTCCCCCTATCTATCTGTCCATCTATCTATCTATCTATCTATCTATCTATCTATCTATCTATCTATATACATACATACATATATATATATATATATATATATATATATATATATATATATATATATATATATTTATTTACACACACACACATACACACATACACACACACACACACACACACACACACACACACACACACACACACACACACACACACACACACACACACACACACACACACACACACACACACACACACACACACACGCATATATATATATATGTATATACATATCTGTCTATCTCACTCTGTCTGTTTGTCTGTCTCTTACTCTTATATATATAGATATATAGATGTAAACACACACACACACACACATATATATATATATGTATATATATATATATATATATATATATATATATATATATATATATATATATATATATATACATACATACATACATACATATATATATATATATATATATATATATATATATATATATATATATATATATATATATATATATATATATATATGCATATATACATACATACATACATATATATATATATATATATATATATATATATATATATATATATATATATATATATATATATATATATATGTACACACACACACACACACACACACACACACACACACACACACACACACACACACACACATATATATATATATATATATATATATATATATATATATGTATATATATATATATATATATATATATATATATATATATATATATATATATATGTGTGTGTGTGTGTGTGTGTGTGTGTGTGTGTGTGTGTGTGTGTGTGCATGTATGTATGTATGTATGTATGTATGTATATATGTATATATACA